AAATGGGTTTTCATTACATGGATTCCAATTGTTATTTTTAATTGGTGGCATTCCAACTATAATTTTGGCTGTAGTTGTTGCTTTATTCATGACTAGCGGTCCTGCTGACGCTCGTTTTCTCACACCTGAGGAACGTAAATTTGCTCTTGATCGTTTAAGACCAGAAGGTGGTCCTGCCCCTGTTGATCGTCAAACTGCCAAAACTCAGATAAAACTAGCGTTCCAGGATCTTAAAGTTTACGCCTTCCTAATATTATTATTCCTTGGTTCAATCCCATTCAATGCTCTTAATTTGTTCCTTCCAACTTTAATTAAACAACTTGGTTTTAGTAGTGTAGATGCTCAATTAATGAGTGTACCACCACTTCTTATTGCAACTGTCTGGATGACCATTAATTCTTGGGCATCTGATAGATATGAAACAAGGGCTTGGAGCATATTGGCTTCACATTCTTTGTCTATCATTGGATTGGTGGGAGTTATGGTTACAAGCCCTGAATTATACACCTTCAGATATTTCTGCATGGTTCTTTTGGCATCTGGCGCGTACTCTGTATTACCAATACTATTTAGTTGGTTCGCCTGTAATATTGGTCAGTATATTTATATATTTATATATGCGTCTGTTTTTGTTAATATATGTTTAATAATTTCTAATATTTCTAAAATCAATATTATATTCTCAACATTTAAATCAAATTAAGTCGGTCAATATAAGCGCAATATAACTATTGGAGCAATATTATCCCTTGCCAATGCTGGAGGTGTTATTGCATCTGTAATCTACCCAGAAATTGATGCACCTCTATTTGTTAATGGAAATATTGTATGTTTGGTCTCCGTACTCTTACAATGTCTGATAACTATTGGATTGAAAGTTTCTTTGGATATCATAAATAAGCAACGTGATTTGGCTACATTAGCTGCTAAAAATTATAAAATTGATAATGAGTTAATGAAAAATAAAACGAAACTTAGTGAAGTGGCCAAGAAATTGGTTGAAAATGAACCAAGATTTGATGAGATATTGTGTGACAACCATCCTAATTGGAGATATATCACATAATAAAATTGTTTGAAAATATGTATATAAGATTTATATATATAGGCTTTAAATTGGTTCTATTCTTTTCACAATATTAATCTGGTAATTAATTAATCTAGTGAGTTTAATATAAAAAATTATACCTATATAATATATATAATATATATAATATATATAAGATATATATATATATATTAGGGTAAATATTAGCGACATTTCTTCTTCCTGTCACTTATTTAATTTATCGCCTATTTAATTTAAAATCATAACTTGTAATAAAATAATACACGAAAAACGCCAAAACTTTTTTGCATAATTACTTTTTTTTTTCTTTTATTATAATTTCTTGTTTTTAACAAATTTAATCATTTATTTTTAAGCTTGAAATTTTTCTTTAATTTGTGTAC